ATTTTTGGTTTTTGACCTCTGGTGAGCTGAATGCCGGATCTGCAGGTTGTTTTCATTTTTAATAGATGCTTCTATCCACCCACTACTAAGTTACTCTTACATGCTGATTAAATCTTTGACACAAACAGCCCATTTCTCCCACTTTTTCTACTGCATTTTTCAGAGATGTAATTTAATTTGTTTCTATACATTGTTGCAATGACATTCCCTTTTGGGAACAAGAGAAATGTTGCAGAATCACACAAATCCCATGAGCCATCCTAAAAGGAGGAAGAATGTACTTTATGAATCACTGGGTTATTTTTTGAAAATCTTGTTGGATTAAAATGACGCAGATCTTTGGTCTTTATCTTGGGAAGTGCTGTTTATAACTATCATGCCAAGCACAGAATATTATAATATATATTCAGGCAACATTAAATGTTAGGCCTTCAAAAGTAATAAATACTAATGCATATCTTCTAAAATGCTTATAAGATCTTTAGAACTTAGATGGTACCTACCCCAGGCACTTTGCAACTCTGCTTCTTTAAAAGTGTGAGGCAAAACCACAAGCAAACCACACCATAAATCAGTGATAAATGAGTAAACGTGTGTATGAAACAATTAACCACTTCCTATCTAGGATTGTCCCCAGAAGGGCCGATCCATCCCTTCTGTCTTGCAAGAGCTAGGTAAAGGGAGAGCTGTACGTAATACTCTGAGATGCAACAAATTTAGACTGGCAGGTTTACAGGCACCAAAAGGCTTGTTGTGTTTTTCCTGCAAGGTGCTTTCACTCTCAAACATGGGAAACTCCAGCCTGAATGCTTTTGCTGATTTGGGGAATGGGTGTCCCAGGTAGGCAAGCCTCAGAACATTTAAGGCTTTAGAAGTTAAAACAAATGGCTTAATGTGCTCCCAGAAATCTCTAAACACAGCCTGTGAAATGCTGTCAGAAAGTATTTGTGGTGAGATACTACTCCAGGTTAGCTCTTAAATCCATCTCAAAGCTGAAGTGGGTGCAGAATGGAGCCAACCTACTATTTAAACAGACACTAAGTAGTTTGATTAGGATGTGACAAAGGCAGAGAGAGTGGTAGGAAGGGGCCGCATCCAATGAAAATGAGTGCATTCTGACCAGCTACGCACAAAAACAAACTGTGCAGCTGTTGCTGTAACTGAGTCATTCAGCAGTAATTGGAATCCAGTAGGATGCAGATTGCAAGGAACAAATCATGGGGAAACAGTATGAGCCAGATGGGATGATATCATCTGTATAATAATGTTCCATTTCCTCTTCTCTGTTCATCAACATCACCTGTGTTTTGCCTGCATTGAGGCTCAGTTTACTCTTCAAAATCAGATGTTCCATCTCACTAAGGGCAATTATTTTGGACGGAGGGTCTCTTACTAAGTTTTGGCAAGTCATCGAGGGCCGCATGACAGATAGCCACAGGCAGATTAATATTAATTTTATAAATTTTTTTATGGGCCCTGTGGGCCGGATAGAATGTCCTGGCTGGCCACATTTGGCTTGCAGGCCGCATTTTGCCCGCCCCTGCATTAAGACATGGCACCATCTGAATTTGAATAGAAAAGAAAAGCACAAGGATGGACTTTATCTGCACATTGAAGACCTTGTATCCAATCCAGAACCCTGCATAAGACTACACCGGGCAAAGATGATTAACTGCCCAGCTTTACCTCTGGGATTTTACTGGAGGTGGGAACAAAGCAGTTGAAGAGCAACATTGTTGCAACTGTTCTTTGTGAGGTCTGTACTCTGTAATCAACTATATCAAAAACAGTTTATCACATTGGTTGGATACTTTGTTCCTCTTCAATCCTGGGGGGGATCCTGGTTTTCTGTTTAAAAATCACAAATTCTCTTGATTAAAACCCCCCAAATCCCCATTTTTCTGTGATTAAAATGAAACACCACTATATATCTATCTATAGATAGATATAGATAAGAGGTATCAGTTGAACACAATGTTTTATTGATATATTTACAATTTTAAAGCAGTTTGGAAGCCTACTAGTGCCTCAATCACTATAATAAAGTAAATTCTAAATGCTTATACATTTTTGGCATATAAGTATTTTTATCATGGAAAATCAAACCTCCCCGTTTCCTTCGCTTACCAGAATGCAGGTCTAGCTGCAGGTCTCCCGTTCCCCCTCCCCCCCAACTCATTCCCCCCTTCCAGCTGGTTTGCAGCACTGATATGCTGGTGCCCCGGACATGCCATTGCCCCTCACCACCCACAGCCTCCTGCCCCCCAGATCTGCCAGAGAGGGCCCCCAGCTGCCAGGGCTACAGGGCTGGGGACCCAGGTCTGCAGCTCCCTGCCCCGCCCCCAGCAGTACCTGAGCCCAAGCTGCAGAGCTTAGCTCCCCCTCCCACAAGTGGCATGGCTGGAGCAGAGCCTGTGGTGGGGGCAGGTGCAGGCTGCCTGTTGTGGGCTTGGGCTCTCTGCTCTGCTGCCCTCCCCTCAGGGCCTCTGCAGTTGGGCAGAGTGGGGCCAGGTAGGGAAACTCATTGCCTCAGCTGGGAGCTCCGCACTGACATGCAAAACTCATATAATTTGCTGGCAGCAGCAGCCTGCTGTCATCCTGCGTGCAGATCTGGGGGCTCGTGCCCCCCAGGAAGGCTGCGGGGCTGTGCTGGACTCTTCTTCGGGGACACAGGCCCCTGGATCTGCACGTGGGATTCATCGATTCATAGACACCAGGGCTGGAGGGGACCTCGGAAGATCATTGAGTCCAGTCCCCTGCCCCAGGGTCGGGAAGTCAGCAGGGATCATAGGATCCCAGCAAGATAAACATCCAAAGATCTCGAAGGTGTTCAAAGTAGGTGCTTGAACCACTTTCAGCGGCAGTATATTCCAAACCTTGGGGGCTCGGACAGTAAAGAAGTTCTTCCTTATGTCCAGCCTGAAACGGTCATGGAGGAGTTTGTGACCGTTCGAGTTTGTAAACTTATAGGTGGCCACCAGATCACCCCTGAGCCTGCGCTTTTCCAGGCTGAAGAGTCGCGTAGCTCTCAGCTTTTCATTGTAAGGTCTGTTTTCCTGACCTCTTGTCGTGCACATGGCTCTCTGCACTCTCTCAAGCTTCTCCACGATCACCCTCATGTCCTCGGGTGTGGACACTTTACCCCAGAGTTCGGTGTTGTCGGCGAACTTGGCCAGTCCACTTCTGACACCCATGTCTACATCATTAATGAAAATGTTAAATAATATAGGCCCTAGGACAGAGCTTTGAGGGACCCCACTGGCCACAGCGCACCACGATGATTGACTTCCGTCAACGATTGATGACAGTAGGCTGCTGCTGCCAGCTGGAGCCAGCACCAGCACCCAAGTCTGCCTGGCACAGCCCATGCCAAGCACCAGGAAGCCTGGTGCTGCCACTGGCCCCAGCCGGCAGCAGCAGCATACTATCATCCCATGCGTGTATCCGGGGCCTGCGCTGCAGCAAGCCCAGCTTCAAAACCGAAAACGTTTCGAGTGCCCTTGTTTCATTTTGATTTCACTGTTTTGAGCTCAAAACGTGTCACCCATTGAAATTTCGCTGGAACTCTGCCAGCCTACAGGGGGAAATGCACCATTTCGTGCATTTTTCTCCTTTAAAGGAGAAAATCTGGGTTTTCCTCTTTAAAATGAGAAAAAATGGGTTTTATCAGATTTTTCTGTGGTGAACGGGGAAAAACCCGGATTCCTGTTGATCACCACAAATAACTACTGTGCCATGCTCAGGTTGACCTAGGGACAGGAAATCTGAGGCAGCTGGGTTCTGTGAGTACAGGAGACCCTTGGGGAATACGTTCTCAAGATATCCGTGAATAAGGCACTGCGTTTATGAATGCAGTGTCCCCAGTGGCTGGGGTTGGGGTGGGGGGGGGCACGGCTGCATTGGCAGGAGCACGGTGGTGGCAGCGGGAGCCCAGCGGTGGCAAGCATGGAGCTCCCGAGGAGCTCCTGTAAGTGTATTTAAGATGCAGGTTCGGCATTCACGAATAGTTGAAACCACGAATGACAAACCTGAAAATAGCGAGGGTCCCGCAAACACAGAGGGTTTCCTGTACTCCCCAGCTACAATGTTCTCAGTAATCTTAACTGCAAGGGTCAGATCAGAAGCATAGTTGTGAATAGCTATAGTATTGTGGTCAAGAGACATGTTTGTTAAATAGAAGTTGACAGCTACCCTTCTGAAGGGAGACACTGACCGTTTTTGTTGGGGTCAGTCACTATCTGCCAGTAAAGTTGTGGTTCTGAAGCACAGGCTGAGTTATGAAATGCCACTAGTATATCAGGTCTTAGTGATTAAGAATTATTGTTCAGTCTCCTGCTTCCACAGAAACAAACAGTGTAGTCCAAATCTTGGTATTATATAGGGAATATATATATTTTTAACTTGATGGTCTCAATACCTGAAGAGTTATATGGGTTTATTAGTAATATTCACATAATCCCATTAGGAACATGAAGTGAGCAGGAAGAAAACACCTAACCTGTTGGGTACTTCTGAAAATCCTATAAGGTAAATGTCTGCATCTCTAGGCACCTAAATATATTTGTACAGCTGGTCCTAACATCAACATACTGCCATGCATCAGTTTGGAGAGCTATAAAGTGAACTTAGCAGGTTATGGTAATAACTATAGCGTCCTCCTGGTTGTCAGGAACATGGTTTTCATAGTTATGTGAATAAGTCAGTTTGACTAGGATGATTTGCAAATGATTCACACAGAACATTTGAGCATTATTGGCTTAGTTGAAATATAATTATTACCTTGAGAATACACCTTACCAAAATGGAGCAGGGTATACTGTTTATACTTTCACTTTATTTTCTTACATATAGGAAGTTACTATAGATTATAATATAAGCAGAATTTATTTTTATGCATTGTGGTCTATTATGCAATATGTTGTTTCAGAGCTTTTTAAGAGCTTCTATTTTAAATTTTGTTGTTTTTAATTTTAAAATATTTTGAATTTTATTTATTCCAGAGTTTCCCTGTCTTTGAATGCAGCCATGGAGATGATTGAGGAACAGTTTGGTAGTCTACACATTGCAAAACGTTGTGCACTAACTGAAGACCCCACTTATCTGCTGGATATAGATATTTCAAAACCTGTTCAGGCAGAAAGAAGTTGCTTAGTTGCTGTTTCATGTTCCAACAAATCAATTAAAATATATAACAGAGAAACATTAAACTTGCTACGGGGGTACAGTGGCCAGCCTGGAACACTCAGTGGAGTCAGGTTTGCCCATATGAGTGACAGTATATTGTTTTCAGCATGTGGTGATGGTACAATCAAATGTTGGGATGTTCGCTTAGCTACTCAAGAAGCTGCACAGTTATTCAGGGGTTATCCTTCAAATGTTTTTATCAGCTTTGATATTAATTGCAATGATCTCATAATTTGTGCTGGTACAGAAAAAACTGAAGAGGATGCATTCATGGTGTTTTGGGATGCAAGAGGAAATACAAACAATGTATGTGCAGCTAAAGAACCCTTGGGAATCTATTCCGAGACTCATAATGATGATATAACAAAAATTTGCTTCCATCCTACCAAACCTAATTTGTTGGTCTCTGGGTCAACTGATGGATTGGTTAATGTATTCGATATTAACAAGGACAATGAAGATGATGCTTTGATTTCAACTTGCAATTCAGATTCGTCAGTAAGTTCCGTTGGTTGGTCTGGAAAAGATTATAAACAGATATTTTGCTTAACATATGATGAAGGATTTTGTTGGTGGGATCTTGCTCAATTAGATACTGAAGAGCCAATCACATTGTTGCATAGTGTGGATGTCAGGGAAGCGGTCCGCACTGAAAATAGCAGCTTAAACTATCTGATAGGTGGCTTCTACCATGAAAAGGCAGACAAACTGTTTATTGTTGGAGGAATGTTAATGGGAAACATTCACCTAATAAGTTGTGGCATTGATGGACTGAACCTTGTGGGTATCCTTCATGGAGGGCACTCTGCAACAGTTCGCTCTTTCTACTGGAACATGACAGATAATTCTTTGTTGACTGGCGGAGAGGATGCACAGCTGTTGCTGTGGAAACCTGGAGCTGTGGAAAAGTCCCTTGCAAAGAGGTCATCTATGAAAATTGCTTCCTCTGTTCAGAAACGAGTGAAAGTTCACAACAACACTCTCAAAGCCAAGAAAAAGTAAAATTACAAAAACAAATATCTTGTCTTTGTAAATATGTTTTATTCTAAGCAATATTTTGCATATTGACATCTTTTTGAATTTTATTTGGTGAGTTATATGAAGAATACCATTGAATAGGTAAATTCTATGCAGGAGCAAACCTTAGTCGTCATATTAATAACTGCTTTAAAAGTTACTGACACTTGTCTAAAATGAGTAAATGTTTTCTGTCAACGCATTGAACAAACTCTGTCTTAAAAAGTTTTATATTAGATCATGTTATTAACAGTATTGGCACAGACTTGAATCATCATAAAAAACTGATTTGCGTAATTTATGTTCCTGTTGCAATGAAATCTCTTATCAGGTTTTAAAAGCTTTTGAATTTCTAGTCAAATCTTTTTACTTCCTCAGAGAATGTAATGAATGAAAGTGTCATTAAAGACCATAGTGTTCCTTAAAGCGTAGAGAAATTCCTGATGGAGCAGACAATGAGTATTGTTTGACATTATTATCTCACTGTATAATGTCAAATGTAAATAGCAGTAAACATGCTGTTTTAAAAAATAGCCCAAATATAGCCTATTTCTTAGATCACATTTTCATGATACTAATAGGAACTGTAGGCTTATTTTACACTAACGCAGTGTGTCAAACTGATAGTATTGGACATACTCTCTGTACTCTGAACCACCATTGACAGTACGTGCTGCTCCATACTAGGTACATCTACACGAGACACTTTACTGTGCAACAGAGCAAAGTACTGCATAGTAAGCATCTGCGTCTACATGTGTAGACCTTTGCTGTGTAGCAGTTTGCTCTGCTTGGCTGTTAATTTGCTACCTGCAACTGCAAACAGCAAATTAACTGCTGAGTAATTACTGCACAGTAAGTCACACAGACAGCTGACCATGAGCAAATTTGCTCCCAGTCAGGCATGCAGCAAGGGGCGATAGATTGCTCTCTGCCCCCTGGAGCTGCCTGCTGTTGGGGCGGGCTCCACCACTTGAGTCTGGGTAGGGACAACGTCCCCCTGTCGTGGCAGCTCTCACTCCACAATTGGGGAGTCGGGGCTAGAATCTCCCTGCATGGGGATAGTTACCTGGCCAGCCTGGAGCTGGCTGGGATGTGCTCCTGACTGGGATGGTTCCTGGCCAGCCCTGGGCTGCACAGGGAAGTCTGTACATGCAGCCTGAAGGTGGCTGGGGACTGTCCCACTTTGGCCAGGGGTAGGTCCCAGGTCCGCAGATCTTTCCCAGCCCCCTGCTCAGCTGGGGGCTCACTGCTAGCTGCCCCACTGATGAATCAGGGTAGGGGGCTGGCACCTACCCCTCCCCCACAGCTCCTTCCAAGACCTGTGCCCCTGATGCTAGGGATGGGAGCTCCCTGCTGCTGGGGCAGGGGGACATTGTCCCTGCCCAGGTTCTACCGCTGGAGCCTGCCCAGCAGTTGTCTCCTGGCACCTTGTTCCCTGCCAGACCCTGGGGGAGCATCCACTGGCTGGGGCAGGAGCAGACTGCTGCCAGGAGCAGCAAATCTGTTCCCAAATGGGTGCACGTGTAGATGCCTTCCCAGGGTGGACTTACTGCTCAAATTACTCTGGAGTGTACCCAGCAAGGTTCCCTCTAAGGTGTGTGCATGTGCGGCCACACACACAAAAAAATCCTGCTGCACATTAGCTTTGTAATGCTGCACACCTGCCTGGAGAGAAGCTGGGCTGCGGCTTCCTAGAAACCTGGAGCACGATGGAGGCACTGGGACTGGCAGTAAGTTACCACTCGGCTTCACTCCACTCCTCACCACGCTGGCATCTCCGTGGGGAGAGAGAGCAGTGGGGGCAGGCAGTGGCTCCTCCCCAAGGCAAGGTGGGGGTGGGGATGGGCTGGGGCTAGGGGTGAGTCGGGCTCTGCTGGCTCCAGGTAACTGCTCCGCTCTCCAGCCCCTTCGAACGAGCTCTGCCGAGCTCCAATGCCATGTGCCTCCTCGCTGCCTGGTCTGTCCAGTGGCAGCACGCACAAGGCTCCATGCTGGTTTCAAAGGCTGTGGAGGCACAGAGGCAGTGTGGATCATTTTTGACAGTGATGAAATCTGCCAGATAGGGAAGACCAGGCATACCTTCAGGGTTTCACACTACCTGAGAGCTTTACAGAGTATATTAAATGATGTGATTTATGTCTGTCACATGAAATCCATTCTCTTGCATGCTCTCCTCAGGTGGAGAATTATACATAAACTTTTCTGTTTTGGCAGGGTTTTTTATATTTTAATTTTTTAAAAATCAAATATATAATATATATAGTATTTCAAGAATCTTTTCTCCCAGATAATGTGAGAATAATTTGTTCAGCGTGCCGAAAGGGGGAGGCGAGACCAATTTGAAAACAGACCAAAGTGGCGCGCTCACGGGCCGAAGCAGCGTGCTCATGGATCACTAAGCCTTAGGGGGAACATTGGTACCCAGTGGTATTTGTACATGTAGACGAACCCACTGTGTCTCAGTGCTGAGCTTAAAACATCAACAGTAGGACTGAGAATGTAGGTCAGCCTCAGTGGGCCACCAGAATTGATCTACAGGAGTACCATGATCTTATGTCTGGCATTGGATGGTACCACATGCTTCCAGGCTACCAAAGACTTTTCAGCATGTTGTTACATAGCCTACAGAGAGAGGTTCCTTTTGTTTTAAAACTCTTTAAAGGTTCATTTCTGCATTGAGACATGTCCACTAAATAATGAGCTCTACAGAGGGTAATGTGCGTTTCACTAATCCCATCAAACAGCCACTGAGTGTTATACCTTGTTGGCTTATTTGTTGCAGCAAAAGCATTTTAAGAGAAAATAGACTAACACCATAATTGACGGAGTATGCGTAGCTTTCCAGAGGTTTATCCATCTTCTGTATTGGGATCTTGGTGGGTCTGAGCTTCCCTAAGACCACTAGGGCCTGCACAACAATTTTGTCCCTTCACTCACCATGTGCCAGTTCTTTCTTCAGCTTCAGCAAGAGTCCTTTAATGGCTGAGTCCTTTTGTTTACATCCATTGTTTTTTTAGGGATGTGCTGAGGTTTTGTCTTCTTTCAGCTGTTCCCTCTAAATGAAATCCTTACTCCCACTAACTTAAAGCAGTGTAGTTATATACTGGGGTAACAGAGTGAATCACTGATAATAAGTATTCCAAATAGATTACAAATGTCTCAGTATCATAGAAAATCCTTAGATGATTATGTAACGGTGTCACATCCACTACAGTTGGAGCTAAACAGTTCCTTCAGAAGGGTTGGTTACTCTTTGCTTCTGTGGGCCCTTCATACAAAGTGGGGCAGAGCGAGAAGGAAGGAAAGACGTCATTATAAAAAGTCAAAAGCTCAGGCAGGTGACGCTACCTGGAACTAGCTCTGACTTCATTTGAGTTGAAATCCATTAAATATATTGGTGGGTGTTACAGGTTTATCACACACTGACATTTTAGTGTAGCTTATTGTCTTAAGAAAATACAGTACTCTGATTACAGAACACAAATTCAGAATGCAAAATAGTATTGCTTACCCATCCTGCGAAGAATTCAAATAGAACTGCAAATGGAAGGGTTAGCCTCAAACTGTGTTTTCAGATTGATGTCTACAAGTCCAATTTCATGTTTTAGGAAGCATATTGTGGCTGTTTTATGTTCATTGTGAGTATAATGATGTTTAAACACCCTTTATTTAGAAACCTTTGATTTATTGAAAACTTCAGCAGTTCTTAATAATGTTTAACACAGTGAGAGGGGTGTTGGTTGTAGTTATGTTGGCTTAAGGACACAGGCAGACAAGGTTCTTTGGGTAAATCCGATATCTTGTATTAGACCACCTAAAAGAGTTGGGAAAAATTCTTCTTTCTAAGCTTTCAGGCACAAACACCGTTCTTCAGGCAGAGGAAGTGTCTGTGAGACACAGTGAAACTAAATCCAGAAACGGTATTTCCTAGTAAATGAAAACTATAAAAACTCAAAATTCTTTGCTTCAATGTTGAAAGCAACTTGCATTTTTATTGAGACTTTTGCTGTGCAATGGACTGACTTATATTCTTCCAGTTTATGAAAAACTGTGTAGTGAAGACTTAAAATACATTCACTTCTGTTACTGCTTTCACTGCATAGGTTGGTTACAGGTGCAGTTCTTTTGTGTGTTAATACTAGCTATTCTGCATTAACTACAACAGACTGTCAAATAGTCCAGGCCAAATCTTTTGGGTTTAAAAAAAATAGATCTATTTTAATGAGGAAACTTTTCTAGATTCTACAAATATTACTTTAAAATTATAATGCTTGATTAATGTAGGTTTGGGAAACAAGCTAAAAATATTTTACTCTGCTGTTGTTGACTAATGAGTGAAACACAAATTAGTTGCATTTGCCCCATCTCCAGATAGTACTTGTGTTTCTGTGTAAGGATTACATTTTAATTTCTTTTGAATTATTTGTGTTTAATAATTAAAAATGAAGTTTTACATTTTTTATAAGAATGATTTTGAAAAAATTATTTTAAAATGAAGTGAAATTATAATGAAGGAATGTGGTAGTAGAAATATTTGTCTTTTTAAAAATATAATAATTCCTGTTTTTTATAAAACAATAAACTAATAGTAATTGGATTCAAATGCATTGGCTAGAAGAGAGCAGTTGGAATGGAAAAAAGGAAAACAGTTCAGGTATTGAGACATTTATTTACAAATCTAAATATAGTCACACACTTATTTTCTCCTTTTACTCTCTTGCTAAAATCTAATGCTTATATATAGCCAAGTTTATGCTAACTTCAATGAGCGTCCCCTCTGTTTTTTAAGCACTGGCTGATAACTTTGTGAAGAAGTATGAAATCCCCAGGTCAACAGGAACGTTACTATCAACTTCAGTAGGTCAGGATTTACCCTAGATTTCTGGGGAATTTCATTTATGGTGGAAAATAAGTTACGCAGCTATTTTATCTTACAAATGATATGGCAAAGTCACAAGTCATCTTGTGGCTACATAGCTTGTATATATAATATGTCTAACTATATACAAGGGCTTCTCCATATTTATATCAAATTTTAAGTTAGTTCAACAAGTTGACAAAATAATATGTTTACACTTGAGAACAACACCACAGGACTTTTTCTGTTTTTTGCCGTTCTCATATTAGCAACATATTGAATGAGGACTTTCTTTTGGCTCTCTGGCCATTACTACAAATCTTGGTAGCATCTCTGAATTCAGGATGTAAAAGTAAGGTAACCCCAAAGTGAAGACATTATGCCATAGCCTTAAAGTACTTCTGGGTGCCAAACACCTGTAGTTTAGTTTCAAAGTACCATTAAAACCTGGCCCATAGACCCTAATCCTGCAATTTTTATTTTTTATTTTTTGTGTGTGTGGATGTGCTGCTGTACCTGTGTGAAGCCAAACTGAAATCAGTTCTGTGTGAACACGGTAAACTGCAGGATCTGTTTTTTCAGCATAGCTTTTCATGAAGACAATATAAAAGGGGATAGAATGACATGCTTCCTCTTTAAGGTACTGCATGGGGTGGAGTTCATATTTTTACGCTTTTTTAAGATCTTCTCCAGTCATAGATT